CTTCCTGGATACGGAAATGATGTAAAGTTCAAGGCAGTTTGAGAAAATTGATATATTTATTTTCAAAAAATCGAATCTACCCTCAGACAAATTTCGGTCAAAATGGAAACTTTCACATGCGAATTTTTGCACCTCAATCGATTCAATTGACGTAAAAAGCTACACAACATGAATATATAAAGGGTTTGGGTCAATACTAAAGAAGATACCGTCGTTTAAAGATCGTGAACCGTCAAAAATTTTTGGCTTCCTTGAGAAGAAAATAAGACATAACTCGCGGCATTTTGAGAAAAGTAAGGTTTCCAAATAAAGTCGACCCCTACTCTTAGCAAAATTTAGGTCAAAACTAAAAATTTCACATGCGAGTTTCTTCAGCTCAATCGATTCCTTTCGACGTAAGGAACGGAAGGCATCGTCGGTTAAAAATAATGAATCTTCAAAAATTGCTTAGTTATATAAATGTATATCTTGTATACGAGAGATAGTTCCCGAATCCTTGCCCTATTCACCTGCCTATAGAATTACAACTCTTGTAGAGAAACTTCACTGAAGATTACCTTTTCACTCCACTGGATAGTAGACTTAAGTAATTGTTTTAGCTTAAAATCAGCAATATTGTTATGGGCAGTGATACTTTTGAGATATGTAACTTTGCGGCTCTAATAGCCTAAAGACATCGAACTTTAATCCGACCCTGCGGATGTCTACCACGATCTCTGTGGATGACATCAGAGCAACATTGCGGCGAACCGCCTGTGTCATTTTCACGAGCTCATTTTCTTGCCCTCAGCCTGCCCCCAAATCACCCCAACGAAGCCACAAAACAAACATAATTAATTAAGAAAAAGTATCCAACTTCAAAAAAGTTTTAATGTCATGGCTTTCAATTATGTGGGAGTCTTTTTAAACATAACTATAATGTTTAGTGCCGATACAGGCTTATAGGGCCAACTTCAAAAAGTGTTTTCGATAGTTAGTGTTTATGTGTTAACGATAGATCAAATAACAATCCATACAATATGAATAAACCTTGAGAGGTTTTGTTGCCCAGTTTGACGAATTTCAGCTTGAATAACAGGATAATTCATTAAACAGTGAATAATTCATGGTTAAAATAATTACAGCATTGCGTTCGTTCTGCAATTTGTAAAACAAACGATAAATAAAATTCCTTGTGGGCACTCGAATGGCACGTATTACTATCCTTTCCCCCGTACGTTGATTTAAACTGCATTTATGGCTTTGTAATCAACCAAACGAATTTAAACCATTGGTTTTGGATCTAGAAAAATTGATAACATTTAAATCTTGTCACAATAGAAAGAAAATGCGTTGGCGTATTTGCTGAAGGCAATGCATTATTGCGCTTGCTAAATAAATATTTTTTGAAAAACGCGGCTCGCTTCAGCCCTTGAAAAAGTATACATACAAAAAATAATTAATTCCGCTTACTGGATTGGTTGCGGCGTTAAATGACACTATTTGGAAAATATGTTTGCCCGGTAGATTTTACCTATTTCAGTTAATCAGTAAATGTGGTACAAATTATAACATCAAAAGTTACTTCCGTGCATTTAGTTTACATTCTATTATACAAATTGCCACAACTTAGCCGCGCTTTGCTGGTAATTTTCACAATTTTTGAAGTGATAAATTTTGTTGCTTTTGTTGGCGATCAACTTTTAAATCTTCATTAGTAATGCATTATCAGTCGATTAAGTAGAAATAGCTAATGTTTCAATTTATTTCCCTAAACTGGTTTTTACTAAGCGGTTTTCTATCATTGGTCTATATAAAAGGACCTCATTGGGCGATAGTATCCAACAGCATGCGAAACTTCGCTTTTTAAAATACAGCTGGAAATCATCAAACCTTTTTGGAATAATCCAAATATATAACCACTCCAACTTCTTACAAGCTAGTGTAGGTTTAGCTATAATGGAATTAAATTTGTTATTCTAAATGACCCTTCAATATTTATCGCCCACTCATCTTAAGAGATGATTCCTAAGTTTCCTGCCTGGAATTGCATACTTCCGAAAAGGATATACCCAATATAAATACAAATTTTACGTTCAAATAAAGGAAATAACGGGAAATGCCCATCTCGAGACAAGGGAGCGGTAAAGAGAAAACAGAACTGTTCCAGACCTAATGGTGCGTTTTAATCGTACGCAGGTTAAACGTCTGCTTGTGGAGCTTCTTGTTGGCAATTTATGTTTAGTTAAACTGAAGTACATATAATTTGAACGTGACTTTTCTAAAACATTATGGTGTGCAAGGAGGATGCATCATACGTCAACGGAAAATAGATATCATTCCGGGCAGTAGTGTAACTTTCAAAAGATATGCGAAACTATGTAATAACTTTAAAATAGAAGCAAAGCAAATATTGTAGGAAACATCTCGTGCTGCTCCAAACAACAGTCAGGATGAAAGTGACAGGAGCCGGGCTTAACGTCAAACCAAACAATATTAAACTAAACTTTTCCTCTTAGGCAACGAGCCTGTAAAACCTGCTCTAGTCAAACTTTTCACGTCTAAGTTTTTCCTTCGACAAACTCCGAAGGCTCGCTCTGCTTGCCTCCCAGTACACCAAAGAAATTATAATATTGATGCCTTTTCTCTCTACTTTTGCCTAAATTCATGTAAACGTCTTCCGGACAGTAAGCCGGCTTAAATTGTCTTGCAAGGCTTTCGAGTCACCTGTAAATGCCTTCGACTTTCTAAATTATATTATTTTCATTTCGCCATTTCAACAATAAACTTTGAACTGGACATCATCCAATGTGCAAACTTGTAATCAATTGATATCATATCAAATCTTTTATAAACCATAAAGTGCATTATGCTTCAAAGTTAATATATACTATTCTATAAAATCGGACCCAAAGTTCGACTTACAACTTAACAAATTTTGCTGATTGTTTAATTTGGTGTGTGTACTTTGATATAGATAAGCCTTTCCAGGTACTGTTTTGGTGCCCTACGTTTGCAACATTCAGTAGATTGGACCAAAAATGGGGCTTTTCTCCAACATTTGATACTCAAACATCGATATCTCTAGAGCTCAACCAGTAGTTTTCGAACCAAGAAGCTCTTTATTATATAGGGTGTTCCGTACGCAAATGATCAAAAGGGTACCTACTACTGGGAAGAAGACAACGTCCCCGCCAGCTTTAATTTTTTTCATGTCGTTCTTCTTTCCTATTGGTTGTCAAAGTTACGTTTCGTTATTTCGTTAATCAGACGATGGATTTTAATGAAATCTGCTCTGAATTTGYTTTATTAATAAAATAATTCAAATTGCGTAAACGCGTACGYTTTCACGCAAGTTGACTTCGCAAAATCCTAATACTTTGACCATGTCGGTCACTTCTTCATTAGAAAAGGTCATTGGAAACGAATTTGTGAGATTGATTGACAATTAATTTTTGCCTCGTATCACGATATTTGCAGTTATTTTCTAACAGTGTTAAGTAGCAAWAAAACATAATTTTTTTCCGCRAAAACTATGAAAGCTACAAGATTTTACAAAGAGCACAAAATTGTGGAGAAATGATTAGTGCATCAACCAAAAAATGAGTTGATTTCATCCACCAAATAAAAAGTTCTGCTAGTTTTTGTACCACGTCACTCAAGAATTCACCACTTGTCCAAAACGGATGTACTCGAYTGTCTCATCAAAATATGRGTCTCACATAAGCACACAAATAACTAAAATTAATAAAATAAGCATAACAAATTCACARCKAGTTTTACCCTCATTCTCCYRATATTTCAAAAAATACCATTTTTTTSAAGAACTTTGACCGTCAATWGCAGMGGAGCCAGACATTTTTTGYTAATAAAAGTTAGGTCAGATCGTCTTCTTTTGATGCAAMGMATATCGCTTTGATCATGTGTATCCTTTTGATCATGTGCTTACGYGACAYMYATATTATATATAGGKTGTGTATAGTACATATATAGAGTGTATGYGGTCRGATGAATATTGAAGCCGCCTAAAATAGGACATATTCAGTTTTATCKGATCAGAAGAGTCAAAAATTCATATGCGTGTTTTTCGAACTCAATTAATGCATTTTAGCGGGTTTTCATTGTCGGTGAGTGTGTAGGTATTTCAACTTGATATAAACCATGTTTTGATTAGTGTTATTTGTTATTACATTAAAAAGTTGCTGGAATAAAACAACCATCTTTCTGTAAGTCGGAAAGTGTCTCTCTGTCTTGCACTTACTGCATATAAACTTGTGCTATGTATAACAAATGTATTACCTTGCTACTGCCATTTTATGGCCTGTGACAAAGTTCTACGCCAAATTGCTGTCGGTAAAAATAATAGAGCTCTGTCGGTACAAACACGAAGTGCTGTAGGACTAGCAAAAATTATAGTCATGTGAGCTTAAGCGATTTAGATAGATTCAATTAGAGTGGAGATTCTACTGAGTTAGTGAGAAGTAAAAACGCAAGTATATAAATAAATTTTACTTGGCATAATCAGAAAAAAACATTTCCAGCGATTCATAAAACGCAATAAACTCTCGGAAGTTTCGTGCAAGTTATAAATTGTTGCACGCGGAATGCAAGAGGCCATTTCCTTCCACGACTTCTTACAAGCTGCCGTTTATCATCTAATATAGAAAGTATAAGTAAACATTTTTACTTTCTGTGTACTCGGTGTTAGCAATGCAAACAGGCATGCTGTTGGAACTGTTATTGTAAAGTATAATGGCACAAGTATCGCTGCTACCTTCCCTCTTCGACGTCTTCCTAATTAAATTTGACAAATTAAACAAAAACATTTTTCAGGAAAAACTTAGATGGCATTTGCAGAATAAAGCGAAAGTTCCCGGATGTTTTCTACGTCTTTTCTTTATACTCTCATTCTCTTCGTTATTATAAGATGCTTTATTTAAAGAGGTTAATAATCTTCAAACGTTTTAAATTTGCACAATTTGCATCTGAAGTACTGTTTATTATACTTTCCTTTTTTTCAGACGTAGCGTTCGGTTTGGTGCCCGATTTTCTGTTTCCTTTAGCAAACCTGACAGTACCTCAAGGTCGAGACGCCATATTCACCTGTGTTGTTAACAATTTGGGAGGATACAGGGTGAGTGGGGATTCAGCAACCGCCAGGGTGTGTATCTTTTCAATATATTTATTCATGCACCAACGCGCAACTGGCCAATATTCTCTAAACCTGGCTGTTTAAACAGTAACTTGATGAGTCTCAAAAACATGTTAATCAGTTTACCAAATTACTGTTTGAATCACGGGTTGGCCAATCCGCGCTGAGCTCCAAGCACTGAAGCACCGATGCACTGCACCAGCACTGAGCACGTAATTAAATCAGCACCATTGCACCAATTTACTATATAAATTAGCGTTTTACAGTTTGAGTTCATATTGTCAAATCTTTCTTCTTACGGAAAACTTCCCGCTAGGGTCAACTATCAGCTTCTGCTATAGGCAACTTTCCAGAAACCCATGAAATTGGAACATGTTAATGAAAATTGCATGGAAAGACTTACAAATCGGAAAATGTTGCAACTTTATAAATGCGTCATTAACATTCAAACCCGAAACCGGTTTTGAGTCTACTAACTCCCGTCAACTGGATTTAACTTTCGATTTGCCTGGAGTCAGAGAAATAACTAATCCATCGCCATTAAAGTAAAACAGTTAATGTACTGTTTGGTTGCCGGATCATGCATTCTGCTATTATGTAAGCACATTTTCTTCCAAATATTGGCGCAAAACATCAAATAGGTGATGTTTCCATGCGATTATCATTAACTGGTTTTGTGGTATTTTACGAAAGGGTTTGCAATTGTCGATTTTATAAAACTCTGGCGCTATCGTTATCAATTTAGGCAGTAAAGCGGGAAAATGTGTTAATTTTGGACGAAGGAATCCTATAAATAGCTAATTTGTAAAATTCCTCATTACCATGCAAATTTCCATCAAGGAAAAGTTAGCAAATTATTCACTTTTCCTTTTTTATTAGCACTCTAATGACTGTTTTGATATTTTTGCATGTTCGAATAATAGTGAAGGCACCGCAACATAATCGACTTTAAAATACTCTTTTAGTACGCAACTAGCTCTAGGAATTTGAAGAAAACAAAATTTTGTACATTCAAAATGTCTTGCGTCTCTATATTACCAATTCGAGTGTGCAAAAGTTAATCATCACCGGTCCTATAAGTTCCTGTAAGGTATTTTTAATTAAGAAAGCTTTATAAGGAAACATTTATAAGGAAAAAAAGATGGATTGAGTTGCCTAAAAGAAATCGAATTTCAATATCAAAGTTCTTTCTTATCAGTATCTATTCGGTCATGTAAAAAGTGCATATGCCAGAACTCAATTACAGAAGCTGTCAGCTGGTATATTTGTTATCTCTGCACCAACTGACAGCCTGTTATGACCCCGCAAAATTCTTTGCATGTTATTTATAGAATATTTATATGAAAATTGTATTATGAGCATTAGCCTGAATTCGATAATCTGGGGGACATTACAAGTTAATAGAAAGTAGATAAACTTATAGTTTATTTCTCTTTAGCTTCTACCTAGGTCATCTTTGAATGTACTCAACTTTAAGGCATTCACTGTAGTGACAGTAGCAGTATCAGTAGAACTAGTTGCCGTCAGTTCTGGCACTATTAATAAACCCGTTTTGTGAAAAATTTATAAACTTTTCAACTAAGAACTCAAGGGTGTGAGAGAGGATAACCTTATTTTCAAAGTTTTAAGAGTTTTCTTGCGTTATAAAAACCTGGGAAATAATTAAAGAATGAAATAAGTATACCGAAAAGTTTTAAAGAGTTTGAAATTAAATAGTGCAGCATGAGACGTTTTATGTGTAAATTATTTTCAAACAGCAGCAAATATTTAATAAGTGTAGTTATTCATTGTCTTGTTGTTTAATTTTATTATCCTTTTGACTGTCTTGATATTATACGGCATCCCTATTTAAAGATTCTGTTTTCTTTTTATTGTAGGGAGTAGGATTAACACCAACCGGGGTAAGTTTCCCCCTGTTTCATTATTAAAACTTAAATTCCTGCAACCTAGATATGTTATCTTAGATCATATCGCCCAGCTACTTATGTGTATATAATGTTTTTGTCTAATTTACAGGGCGAGTTTTTTAAACTGTTACAAGACAATGTCACAGAAACGGTTTATAATATATTTATAAAAACTTGGGAAAGTGGGAAATGGGTAGAAGGACACGTTTTAACATATGTGCAATTTTTGTACTACGCTCAATTTGAGAAATAAAGGGAACTTTCTAATTTAAAATATGTTTTTTATTGTAAAATTATTTAAAAATATGACCTACGACGTAAAAAATACAAATTAGTTAATTGAACAATCTTAATAGTTGTGGTTATTAATAATATTCAACTATGTTTCAAAATGCCTGCTTTCAACTTCCAAACACTTTACTACTCTTTTACCAAAAGAATTTCGCACTCGTGCTAACATTTCAGGTGTCACTAAAAAGCAGGCAGAACTAATTATCTCCTTCTTATTTTCTAAGGTTTTGCGTGAAGGCGCCATCACTTTACCTTTAAAAAAACTTCATAAAAATTCAGAGGAGTCAGATCTGGAGATCGGGCCACGAGGACCAATCCATCTGTTTGGAAATATTTTTTGGAGACAACAAATTGTCGATAACTGTGTAACCAGAGAAGAAATTCATGCAAAAACACACATACGTAGTTTCTCATGCAGAACCAAAATCGCAATAAAAAAAAAATATATCATTCTATCGCAATTTCCAAAGCTCTTTCTGCATCTCAAAGACGTCGCTTAGCTTATAAGTAAATTTGAAACCGTTTCTGTGGTAAAGCCTTGTAATACTTAAAAAAATTTTCACTGTATAAGAGCATAAATAATCAGCTGAAACATGAATACGTACCTAAATGTAAATATACTTTAACGCAACTCCTGAAGTTCCTTAGTAAGCAATAAAAATATATCAATACAATATTTGCCTTTCAACGTGCCCATATAATTTTGATTCCATTATTGGGACTACATATTTGAAATAGTAAATAAACAAATATCCACTTGTACCAGGGAATTCGAGTCAAATAAGGGGGCATTCCCATAACATTGCAGTTAGAGCACGAAAATTATTGTATTATTATTATTATTATTATTATCAACAAAACATATTTTCAATTTATTATTGCGAATTGAATTCCCCGAATATCACAATTGAATCGTTGGATAACAGTTTTTACTCTCCATGGGGTTCTTTTAATTAACACGATTTTTACTATTGAATCGTTCTGTGAGGGAGGGTTAAGGTAAACATATATCGTAGGCGTCCTCAAAAGTTTCCAATACATAATTTTTATAGTAGGCAAAGAAAGCAATCGACTTTTATTTGAATTAATTTTAATGTCACAGTTGAAGTAAAAAATTGTCACGTTCTACTGGGGCCCTTTGAAAGACGTTTTTAATTGCGGAGAATGGTGGGAAAAATAATATCGCGATTGAAATATTCTAAAAGAACTCGGTATCAGAATCACAGATTAACAAAGCCTCTTTCAGCGTCACAAACCCCTGGATACGCATTTTTTCATATGTCAATAAAAAGAACTGGATAAAGTTCCTTTCCTTTGAAACAAATAAATTGCCGCAATGGGACTTAAGAAACCTGCCGCCTGAATCATTGATAGGCTCAAAATGAGGGTATAATTTTCAGGTCATTTTCGTCTAAATGTATGCTTTTAAAGATATAAGAACTGAACATCGATAACAAGGAAATTTGCTGCATTTACTGGGTTCTACCACATTAGCACTATTGATTTTTTGACTTCAAATGTGATAATATGTCTATATGAATGTCAGAAAAAGGGCTTTGAAATATCGCCTCATACCCACTGAACCTCTACCAGTGTTTGGTTACACCATGTTCATTTTGTTGCTAATAATTAAAAATCTGTTACGTCTGAATACTTCGTGAGTCATTTAGTGAAGTTGAGCTTGATTAGATTTGAATTTTTGTCTGTGCGAAAACAAGAAAAACACCTAAGCTGGAAAGGAAATTCCTATAAAACAATTGTGAGACGAGCAATGTGGTGTGCACGCGCGCAGCAATCTCAGATTTCAGCGGCATGCTACCCTAGGCTATAACCCAGATGGGACAATAGCTGTAAAATTGAAACTTAATGAGGTGTGAACAGTTTAAATTGATATTTAAAAGAACCGAGATAACCTAGACTTGAACGGCAATCTGATTTAAGAAACATTCTTTTCTATAATGACTGCAGTCTAAACTTTTTGTTATGCAAATCAATGATTCACTAAATTGTTGTAATGGCATGTCGGTTCTTTTACAGTTTCATCGCTTTAAATTTAATGAAACTAACTATCTTTTATGAGTAGGGCACATAAGGAATTGAGCTTATTTTGTGCTGGGTTATTCTGCACTAAGTGAGCGTGTGCAATCGTAAACCGTTGAAAATAAGGCCCTGCACCACTGGAGCTAAATGTGCAGCAAGTTTACTTGTAATTTTAGTGCAGTTTCAATAAACTAAAAATAACAGCAAAGAAAGGCTAATAAAAAACCAAAAATAACATAGATGTGATCTTATTTGTGCCGCAAGGTAGCTATATCTGAAGTCATCTATATATGACGGGCATGAAGACTGAGCCAAAGGTCTAGCGACACGGGGCTTCCAACATAGCTTTCATATGTAAACAAGATTACCATTATTCACCTTCGATGTTTTTGGTCCGCTCTAGTCGACGACATTCTTACATGCGAGGATGAAATGTCAACTCAACTAAATATGCATGAGCTCTTTACCTTTTTGATACTCCTCGTCATATAAAGTTATTAATCAATGTAAGTGCCATTTACGCAATGGATTTAAAATGTATTCAAATGCCCTTTGCCTTTGCAAATTAAATTCCCGCACATTTTAACAATTTGTCGCAAAACAGACCAACAACCCCGAAAAGTTATGCCAGTTCAGTTCTCTTCCTAAAGGGGCGAGACTTATTAGGTGTCAATCTTTGTAAATAAATAAATAATAACACGGAACTCCCCGAAATTTGGTTTGCAAATCGCGCCCCAGAAAATATTTAAACCTTGAATTCAACTAGGGTGGACCATTACGGGCGGCTTTATTTAATTGCCCTTTAATCTCAAAAACCACTCTACAAATACACGCAAATGATCCAATGTTATGAAAGCTGCCGACAGAATTTGATTTAATAATCCGAAACTCCTTAAACTTTGTGACACTTTATGCGATGTTGAGATCAGATGGTATATCATTTCATTTTCCCAATTTCCTATCATAGTTGAGCTTAATGCTCCATCTATTTTAATAGAGGAATAAATCAAAATAATCGCTGTTACTAATCGAATAATCATTCGATTATGAACGATTCCCAAAACTAATAATTGTAGAATATTTCGTATTTCGTTTAGATCGAATAATTATTCAAATAATCCAAAACAAATGATGCGCAAAACTAATAATTATTTAATTCGTTTTGATCAATCGAAATAATGATTGAAATTGTTAATAATGAATAATACATGGTATTTGTAGTTAGATATTTTGTGAAATTGTAAATAGATTGTCTAACAAAACAAATTGCAATTGAGTCCGCCAGAAAACTTAAACATAGTATTGAAAATTACAAGATGATAGAAGTAGGTACATGCTGGTTTTTGGTAATTTGTTGGTTTTTGTATTTTATTCAAGTTTACTTTTTAATATTATAATTAAACTTCCAGCTATGGAACTTTATCTGGGGAGGTATTTTTACGGCACCTTTTCAGTAGCGCCAGCTTTCAATGCAATTTGTCTTACGCGTATTGAATTAATCAATTGGAGATAATCTTTTGGTTAATTTCCATTAGTGCGAGTAACATTTCCTTTTATAATTACTTTCCAACTCGAGAAGCAATTTTCTCTGTCCCAAACTAACACCAGAACGCAAAACAACAGCAACATCCATCACTGTATTATTTGTTATCGTTATACAGCCATTTAAAGACCACTTAAGAGTAATGGCAGTATTAATTTAGCCATTAAATATTGTGGCTGTGGCGTTTAACAATAATTTAACATATATGTGTTATAAAATAAAGTCCCTTCGCTTTAAAACTGTAGAAATATTTAAACGATATTTCATCACATGGCATTTTTGGTATAATGCGTTTTAATGACTATTTGCCCTCTCAGTTAAATTGTGTGTTGTGCATTTGGAATGCCATTCAAAAACATATTAATTTGATAAATAATTGTCACATTATGTGACAATTGTTGGATAAATTAATATGACACTGTGCAGTTGATTAAATTCGAATTCAACGCTGACCTCCTATTAGCGAATATTGTTTTAAATAATACAAATATTTTCGAATCATTGCCGCATTCCATATTTATTACATTTTTGATTCCGACCTATAAACATTTAATCAACTACAATCTGCCGCTAAGTTTCCTGATGAAGAAAGGTTTGACGATATCTGATTAGTGTTAGGTCAAGATACATTACATAACATGGCGCATGTTATAAATGAAACTCTGAAGAACTGTTGGTTTCATTTTGTTTACAATTTTAGCAATAAACATATATAAAGCGTTATATGCGCACCGTGGATAATCGAAGCTTAATACAATTATGTTCTATTGAATTATATCACAGGTTGCTTGGATTAAAGCTGACACCAAAGCGATATTGGCCATTCATGAGAGCGTCATAACCAACAACGCAAGATTGTCTGTGACACACAACGATTTTAACACATGGACACTCAATATTCGTAATGTTAAAAGGGAGGATAGAGGACAATATATGTGCCAAGTGAACACAGATCCTATGAAAATGCAGGTGAGCTCAAGGATTTAATGTATTGCTGATTAAAAGATTGGTGATCACTCGGTCTTTTCCAGACGGCTTTTTTGGAAGTTGTGATACCACCTGACATTATTTACGAAGAAACTTCCGGCGACATGATGGTACCCGAAGGAGGGTCCGTGAAACTTGTCTGCAAAGCTAACGGTTATCCGTCACCGAACATTACTTGGAAAAGAGAAGATTCTGGTTCAATTCTAGTTCGTGAGGGCTCTCACTCGAATCAAAAGGCACGTTTAACTTCGGTAGATGGAGAAGTTTTAAGCCTAAATAAAGTTACTCGGTCCGAAATGGGTGCCTACCTATGCATAGCGGCCAATGGGGTTCCACCCTCAGTAAGCAAACGAATGATGCTTCACGTCCATTGTAAGTACAATTTCACTAGTACTTATATACTATTTTTATCCTTATTTCCATGTTTCCACGAACTTTCCTGTTTACTGAATTTTCATACTTGAAGAACATTATATTTCCTTATACCGCCAATTTCCTACTATATCACGTTGTAGCAAGCGAATACATTTAAGAATATCACGTAGTTTATAAAGTTCTTTATCTCTCTTTGCCTCCACAGTGTGTATTGTTCAGTTCGGATTGATACATGTTGCAAAAATTGACAAAGGATTTTAGGATGAACAGGTAGGAAGGAATTCAACACTGTCAATAGCAAGAGCAATCGAATTTCAAGTGCGTGCCTTAAAATGGACTCTGTATTCTAAATATGAAATTCTATGGTTTTCAAGATCAAGTAAACTATTTCTAATAAATCGTTCTTTCCTTATTTTCAATCAATTTTTTTTGCGAAGATTTCCAACGAATATTTCGCAAGTTTATACAGATAAATTATCAGTAGGTACAGTTGCGTGGTAAAATATATTTATTGGTATAGTATTGAAGGCAATGAGAGACAATTGGTGAAATTGGCACTTATAGCTTTGGGGTTATTTGTTCCTCAATGGCATAGATTCGCTCATTAAAGCATGACCACAAGGGATGTATTAGGTTGATTGTTTTAGTGCAACTGGTAACTAATTTGGGTAGCTTAAGCGAGCGTGTTGGGTGCAAATTTGACGATTTTCAAATTCAAACCATAAAAAGTGCAATGTTTGAGCGATATGCTCCGTTCTGTGGCTAATTGGTTCGCATATTGAGCAAATACTTATTAAAAGTTGAACATCGGAGTACAGATTAATAATTCATTTGCACACACTTTGGCAAATCAGTTATAAAACCTCCACAATGGGGCTGGGCAATTGTTTTTAATTCATGTGTCATTTGCCAAAATAGACGCGTTGGGTCAAACAACAGCAGTTTACAATGAATGGCTAAACACGGCTGGTAACAGCACAACAGATTATAAATCCATCATTACAAAATAATATTTGCGTCTATTTTAATTATCGTTCTGTTTGCCGCACGGATCGCGATTAAAGTTATGTACCTTTTGATTTTAACTGTCAGTATTAGATAATTGTTTAGAATGATTACTATATTTTTTAATTCCGATTTATTCGGGTATGTAGGCGCTACCTACTAGGGGCCTGAATGAGAAGAATTATTAGGAGAAGAGAAACATATTAGCAAACTAAAAACACCCTCAAGCAGGATAATCATGAATATTCGATAAGAGAGTGAGTTGTGTTCAAGGTGGCAAAACTATTGGGGTTCTGAATAAAAACACCTTTCTTAGTCATCTTAATATTCCACTTGGTAGATCGATAGAAAAAAGCCTGTAAGACGTAGTTTAAAACGCTACATCTCAGCCGATCATTGAAATGAATAAATTGAAAGTAATGAAATAGGGGGCTTCAAAAAAAAATGATTGGGAAACGATCGAGACAAATTGATGAAAAATGGGAAATAGCGTATTATTCGGGCGCTGGCTGCTTTTTTATAGCACAAGTGGAAAATGAACGCGCCAAATGTTAAATGATATTCCTTTGGCCGAAGCCAGTGATTCATAACAATAATCCGATAAGGCTGCAAAGTGCTTAGAGTTGAATTAAAAATTCTCACGCTTTTTAATGGAGCACGACGAGTCCTGCCTTCAGCACCATAGTAACGTTTCTTAAGAGATGACTTTCAATTTCAGACTTTACATAATATATTTACAGAGCCCTTCGATTCAGCAGTCGGGTATGTAGCAGAAATTCATTCCCCCGGCGATAAAACTTTAGAGCGCAATCAAATTATTCACCATATTGTTGCTCGCCTAACAGAAACCGAAAACTGATAACAAGAGAGTCGAATTGATTGACTTCCCGAAAAGTAATCGACTTTTCTGAAATGGCCATCAATTGAAATTGTTTCCCAACTTTACAAATGCCATAATTGTCCAGTTCAGGAAATTTCGGATTACAATACTCATTCTATCAATACAACCACGAACAATGAAGTTTACCCCTTTTTTATTTACCTCTTATAATCACTCAATTTTTCATTTTCACTTGCTTCAACGGTCTTAAATACGTTTCAAGTCACTCTCATTCATTAATTTCAAAAGTACCCAACAATTGAGACATTTGTTCAAAGGAATTCATAGGCGTTACCAAAAATGCATGCACAAGTTGATGTAAAACACTTATAACAATAGTAAGACATTCTGCACTTGAGTGCATGAAGAATATCCATCTGCCTTGTACCATGTACATTGTTATACATTATCTGCCCCTACTCAAGCGGTGTTTTATTTTTATTTATCTCAATTAATTCCTTCATCATGCATACATTGACATATAGACATAACATTATCTAACAAGATGTAATTGTACCAGAATCAACACAGTGTTCCAGTTGCAGATCTGTCTCAAGCGTGTTCTACATTATGGAATTAGCTTGGCATACACCAGATTGCTTGTAGGATCTTTCCTCAATTGAGAATGTCGTGTTAGAAAATATTTGACTTGATGTTGAAAAATCGAGTAAACATACTTGGAAAGTGTCGTGTAAATAAAGAATTACACAGTTTGTACCCAAAAAACGTTTACCCCGTTATTCCAGTCAAACAACTACACAACAGAAATGTTTTTTATATAGGAAAATACTGGAACATACTAATAAATACGAGCATCAGGTTTGACAAATGACCAATGCGTATATAGATAGAATTAATTTTTCCATATCGGCTCTAAAATTACGGACGAAAATTCCCAAATATATGATGCAGTTCATTGTAATTGATTGTTTTCAAATTTTAAAGAATATGCGAATGTACAATTAATATAAATTAATTTTTTTAAGCACCAGGTTGACGTCAAAAAAAATAACAGGCAGATTAACGATCCATAATCCTCCTCTCAATTTTATTGTGAATGAACCAGTTCCATCATGAATGGAAAACAGTTAACACCAAGCATCAATTTCCTTGAAGTCCCTGTTGTTTTCATAATAGGAACACATTTTATGATACTTCTTTGTGCATAGTATGTGTTGCATTCTACGTGAGAGATTTCAAGCAAGAAAAAAATGCTCGTTAAACAAAGAACCAACAGAGTGAGTGTTTTGCGAAGAGGTGATACGTTTTATACATGGCAGTGCATAAAACGTGTCAGGAAATGATTGAAGTTGCCAACATTTGTATTTCTGGTTTCATTTATAATGAGCCATTGTGTACTTGGCGGAGAAATATTAGCCTACCCTATTGTGCATCCACGGGATGTATTCATATTCATATGCGCTTTTAAAAACAATCATTGCTCCCTACAGGTTGGGCATAACGAAATAAATGCCGTTGGGGAACAGTCTGTTTCATAGATCACCCAGATAGACTGACCATCAGACATTTTATCTGCTGAAGTAATGTAATTTACATTATAATTTTATTAGTTAGGCCAAAGGAAACCAATTGATGTAATCAGAGTTATGGATCATGCAGTTGAGTTTCGGCTAAGAATATGCGGCAAAGACCAATCTACTCTCATAGACAAAGACTTGAGTAATGTGAAATCAGTGCTTAAGATTTGGCACACCCCTTAATAGCGAAAATTTCCCCTTTTCTAAAGTCAAATAAAAGTTTAAAGTCGGCACTTTCTTTTGATGTGGATCGTAACGCCGTAACAATTCCTTTTAGCTTCATGATTAGGGGAAGCAAAACAAAAACACACATCACAACATCTTTTGAGTTTTTTTTATTAATTGGGGTTTAAAATGGCTTGCTTTGTGTATTCCGTTTGCGTCGGAGCTTGGTTTTATTTAGGGCCTTTAAAAAGAAATATAAATACCTTGAAGCTTAACACGTCGGGTGTACAAGACGCTCATTTATTAATAAAAAAATAACGTATTGAACAATTAGTCAATGTGTTTGATTTAGTAAATTGTCATTCAGTTCCACTGAAATTACTTTCTGGGACAAAAAAGGACTTTTGAACAAATAAGGGCGTTAAGGTGAAAAATTGGCCGCAAGAGATTTTTAATTGCTAAACTAGTCCAATTATACTGTTCTAGTGGGAATTGCGACTTTCTTACACAGTTTCCTCGTTGATAATGCGTCCTTCGACACATCAGGAGTTTAAATTGTTTTCATATCGTTCCCGAAAGCTCATAATAATGAAAACGTAATTTTCGTCTGCAAGTTTGTTTGTAGAAATACACGAATTCCCTTCATAAACGCTAAATATTTCGACAATTCATTAACGACAGTTGGAAATTTGGCGAGTGTCCGAGTCGAGGCACTTCATACATTTATTTATTTAATGTAATGCATAAATTACGGAGGGCCGTATCGCGTAAATTGCAAATATACATGTACAGAGCTACTGACAAACCAAAATTCGAACCGCGTGTCTGACACTCAACTATCAAGCATCGTCAAATAAAAATATTAATTTTGGATCTGCTGTAATATTTCGAATTGTTCTGACCATGACTTCTAAGTCTTTAATTTATGTATTTTTTTTTGAGAATAGTTGATGGATTAATAAGCCCACTTTGCAATTAATTTATCCCCGTGCAATCAAATTTTCCAGCTTTTCCCACGCTGTCTAGCGGGCAGAACATTTCGGAAGGGCAACCTAGAGCCAACTATTCAATATTTAAAGGTAAAAACCACATTTGATCCTTGTCATAGACCAACCCCCTTTGTATGAAATGTTATTAGTATATAAATATATTATATTAAGTACAGATACGTTCCCAATCCAGAAATTGTGATTCGTTCTAGTTTTAGAGAAAAAATCGGCTCAGTTCTTTTAAATTCATCAAGTCATTCCAATCTAAGAGGTAATCCGTGATGGCAAGCAGTTCTATTTCGCAAAGCAATTAATGGATGTAGGCACAGATTTTCCCCCTTTAAATAGTCTACCCCAATCATGTATGTTTCCGCTTGCCAATATCCAAGTGTTTTTGCTGTCAGAAGTCTATTGACTTTGACTCGTATAAATATATTTACCAGCAAAAATATAAATCCAATTTATTGGCTGTTGATAGTGAAAGCAAAAAAAAATGAATCAACTTTGACTAAATTTGCTGGTAAAAAGTATGTGCATTTGGGGGTAAAATTAGAAAGTCAAGTCTGTTAATTGAGTGTCGATAAGCGAGATCAGTGATGGTAAGAGCTTAAAGTAATATTATGCCACTGCTTGATTTTCTTGTGAACAAAGAGGATTTTTTATTTCAGTTCACCCTCTCATCCAAGTGCCGAATCAGTTAGTGGGAGCTCCTGTAAATACGAATGTTACTCTTCAGTGTCATGTAGAGGCATCCCCAAAGGCAATTAATTACTGGACTCGAGAAAGCGGTGAGTACATACATTTTACAAGGAAATAACCCGGCTACTTAGGATTGTTTTTAGTTTTAAGAACATTTTATTTACTTTGCAGGAGAAATGATCATATCCAACGACAAGTACTACATGACTGATATCGACAATTCTTACTACAGTACTCAGTTACAGCTCGTCATCAAGCGGATTCACAAATCGGACTTAGGCGGTTATAAATGCATCTCCAAAAATTCAATAGGCGATGCGGAGGGAAACATCCGACTTTACGGTAAGTGTATTTAAACAGTATTGATTTGACATAGGAAAATGAAAGGGAAGTTTAAACATCGATTTATTCGATTCAACAACCGAAAAAAGCTTCTTGAAATAAATTAATTTCAAAAAAATTTAAAACATTGGCAATCTCCAAAGAAGAGAATGGATACACGAAATGTTTGGCTTAGTTGAGTTTAATAAATTGTAATTGTTTCTATGTTAATTAAATGTAAAGCGCGAATTGATAAAATTGTAGGAAAATTCCCAAAATTCTTCAGAAGGAAAAGCGTTTATTCCACCGGTAAGCTGAATTCACAGTCAGATTTATAGGGTCGGAACTATGAAAAGTTGATGAGATTCCCGCTTCGAATTGGCGACAATAAAATAAAATTGGATTTTTTTGGAAAAGTTGAGAAAATTTCACTTACAACTGCTTTATGTATCGCAGGTTATCGATAGAATGCAGGGGCGGAGCCTCAACTTTTTCTAACTGCGATCAAATTTTAATCTTAAGTTTTCGTTTGAATATAAATCAACAATCGATGGACAGTTTAAATTCACTGATCGAACATTCGATGACTTTGAGGACATGCTCCGCTTCATGAAATCCCATTATGCCTTATCGCACAAGAAACATCAGTTATGATAAAATAATTGTGGTTCTTTGTACAATAGATATATTTAAGTCCTCGCCCCACTCCTGTATTCGCAGACAAAGAAAATCCCTTTACCAGTATTAATTTCGATTAGAAGAGTTTGGAAAAAAATTAGAACTCTTAATGGCACCAATGACAGGGTTTCGGAAAATTTTCCTGATCGACTCAGTAGGTATAATCTATTGGAGATTTATCGTGGAGATACTTAAACTTACAGAATACGATGGAAAGTTCTTTCACGGCCATGACGCTAATCGAAATAAGCAGTTTATGAAGTTGTAAAGACGAAAGAGAATATTGTAGCGAGCCATAAAAATAAAAAGACGAAGGCGTTGTATTGGTTTCAACTGATAATGGGGATGAGAAAAAGGGGAAACGGCAGAGATGGAATAGGAAAAATTCAATCTTCCTTCTTTTTTTTTATTTGGTGAAAATGTATGATGTGACTTAATAATTTGATGGAAGGCGTGCGTGATATCCGGCCGTTGAAAGGCATGGAGTGGATGCGCTATTTGGTTCCGATATGTTCTTATTATACGTAACAACTATGTTATTTATACAGAGTGATTCAACATTGACCTCATTCTTCTAGAGGGGTTCAATTTTTGTAAATTCTAAAACATTTTACTGTCAGCTCACCGAAGCGCCTTGCTAGTGAGAAGTTTGCTAATTTCGAACGAACATGTGTAGAATTTTTATGACCCAAAATCCGAAACACGGATGTTTTCAATTAATCCGTAGTAAGCGTCCAAATGAATAAAAACATGGATGTTTTCGGAAAGGAACAAGTGGGTTTTCTAAGATAATTATTCGGTTTCAGAAATGGAACTACAAGAGAAAGAAGAAACCAATGATTATGATTCACCAGATATAAACGAGGTAAATGAAAACTCGGAAAAGCGTCTTTATAACGATTTCCACGATCCATCCAGCAGAGAAGAAGAAAGTAATCTGGGGCTGAACGTGACAGTATCAAGTTCTTGTGTAATTAGTGTTAAAAAAGTGTATCTGGTGCTTCTCATAGTATGGCTTCAGATTTAACAAATATGAACCTGTAGGGATACAGTGTATAAAATATTGTGATATGTGCCAAATATTCGTGCTTCGCCCTAAGTTAACGCTGGATGTCAATGTACGGAAATTCGACTAAGAAGGGAATCCTTTTATAATATCTTGGCCACATATCAAGTAACGTTACAATTTGATGATAAGGTGAAGACTGCTCATATAGGCTAATCAACATATGCAACGCTTTCATTCACACTTCTCAGGTTTTTGTAGTAATGGGTAATTATTTTCATTAATTATTTTAATATCATCATTTTCGAGGCACAGTTTTTTGAAATTAATTAATTCTGTTACTACAAAAATTTTAAAAGAAGCGCGATAAAATTTAAAAGGCAGCCAGAAAATCACTTTCAGGTGTTAGCATCAGCAAGTGTATATAGGGTTCGGGAAAAGGCAACGTTTTTTAGAATCCATTATAAAAATTTCTTAGAGGGCTGTTTATTTAAAAGTCTTTTTTATAAACCTTGTAGCTCATGGGTGAGGTGGATCAAAATAAAACATTTTTGTAAGCCGACTCTTCGACAAGTTATTCATACCCCGAAGGATTTAGCACATTTTTCATCATTGAATGTAGGTTCAATGCATCTATATACGTACTCAGATCGGGTATACCTACGATTAAAGTTTTGTTGCAAAATGTTGAACTATGAAGTATTCAAATTAGCCAGATGTTTGCCTGGTGTATACAATTTTGTTTTTGAGGAAGGCGCTTCTTGTAAATACATTAATGCTTCCTTAAAGTTGTTGCTTTAGAAAATTGCCTGTAAATATGTTTTGAAAGTGCTCACGGAATACGCTTATGGTTGAAATGTTTGCAGTCATCCTCATGCTTATATAAAATACGCCGCGCTTGCGGAAGTGAATCACAATAAACCGAACAATAAATTTGTCAAAAACTCGGCTTGCTTAAAAAGTTGTTTTCTCTTTTCTTTTGAGCTGCCAAATCAAAAATCTACAAGTTCTCTCCTCGAGCCGTATACATGCCACTTCTAATCCTAACTATTAAAAAACATTTCTTTTTGCGGATTTCTAGATTTCTGTACCATAAAAACATTTTATTGTAGGATTAGCGAAATCGAATAAATCAATTAAATACGTGTTAAGAATATTCGTTGCTGCAAATAGTTGAATGTGCGTTGGACTTATTTGTTATTAAAAGAGAGTTAAACTATGTACTTATATAAATCGTATAAGCAACCAATAAAATTTAAAGAGATATTAAACTACTTTAGCTCTCTAACTTTTGTTATGTCTGGGGTCTTAATTGTCTGTTAACTGTTTCTAATAAATTCATTGCGACATGTTTTACTTTAGCTGAAAAGAAATGTTTATATATACATACGATATGTCTAAGCAAATAAAGTTATTTTAAATCTGCGACATTTGGTTTTCATAAAATTTCTACCGCTTCCTGCTATTTCTATCACATAAATTCGTTAGTGATCATACATGTGCTTTTCTTGGTCTGAATGAAGAGGAATTGAGTAAGGTAAGTATGTTATTTAGAAATAGCTTTATCATCTAACTACTCTAAAAAATCAAGGAAGGATTTATTTTCCTGCTATAGTTCACAGAAAAAAAAAACATTTTTTTGTTATTACTGGAATGAGCTTCGTCCAATTTTTCCTTTATTTTAATTCATTAAATCTGATGTTAGTGAACTAAACAGCACAGCTGTTTGGGCTGTAATGAGAAACCTGATCCGAAATAAAAGTTTTTCTTACAACAATGATAAATTGCCGCAGAATATAGACAATTAAGTGGGCATTTTACGCTACACTAATCTTTTCAGGCCTGCCGAAGCGAAATGTTATAACGAAATTTGTCCGTTTGCGTGAAAAATTGGAACATGTCGAGTGATAGTATAAAAATGTGGAAATTCGCTTGCAAAAAGCGCTTGATTTTGTATTCAACAAACACCCCCAGAAAATTAATCGTCAAAGGGGAAAGTTTACACCGCGTAGACGTACATATCAGCCTATATATTTACAGTGGCGTTCATCATTGTCACTCATGCGAGAGAATGGATAATAATTTCGATCTATCATTTTGCTTTTATTAAAAATTTAACTTCAATTTGTTGATAGTTTAGACATGGAAAAATAGACTTTTCTTATACGACGCTTCAACAGGGTCGGCTTTAGAATTAAAGCTTAAGACTAAATCTGTCCAATCATCAGTTAATTCTTATTTAAGGTGTCTGAGGAGTGCTCTTCTATTAGACGCGTCACTATATTTTTTACATTTATATAAGCAATTCGCTCAAAACTTGTAGTTATGAAACATAAAAAATAGAAGTACGCTACTGATTGGGCAATTTCATTTTCGATTGCAGATATTTTGCTGTTGGATTTAAATTGGGGACTAAACACCATCCTCAGTGTGAAACTGCGGCCATTCTCGTCAGGGGATAATAAATTCGTAAATATCGGACTGTCCGTCACTTCTGTGTGTTTTAATCAAAGTCAGATTGTTGTAGATTCGACGAGGAAAATAATTAAAACGGTTTGTTTTTTCAAGAAACCCTACAGTAGCTAGGCTGTTATTAGATTCGAATTCAGTTATATATTAAAATTTGCAGTTTATTGTCCCTAGGTTTTGAACGTATTGAATTTGTGAATTGCGTTGGTATGCAGAAGCTGCATTATTTTTTTCTCGCCAACTAACATTTTTGCATCTGAAAGAAATGCAGTTTGAGCCAGTCTAGACATTTATCATAGAGAACCGACAATGTTATTTTCAATTTGGACAGTTTTTCAATAAATGAAATACATTTAATAATATTAAAAGACTGTTGGCGTCCTCTGTTGGGAAGTAAAGAGTTCTAGTCGAAGCACGTGAAAGATTTCCATCCGTTCTTTCTATAATTTTGTGTAATCAATATAGTCTAGACGATAATACAAAAAGATGTCATGTAAAGGCTGAAAATGCATAGAATTTTTGCGTGCAAAACAAAAAATATTTGTGTTTTTATGAAATTCTACCGCCTTCAGCCAGCACAATGTCTAGACGTGCAAAATCCTATATATAAAAGACGGTATTGATACAACAGACGCTTTTTGTGAATACTTTTGGCTTTAATACTTGAAGTTTTATAACTATATTGAAAAATTCAAAATAAACGAGTTATTTGAGCGCTTTTTAAAGGCGCATCATAATATGTATAATAATTGCATATAGCCGCAATAAAATTTTCGGCAATAAATTATTTTAAGTGGTATTGCCAGTCCATGTTCAATTAAACATCATGTGATTGAGGCAACAAGATGCAGCCACCTGACGCACTAAAAAGCTGCAGGTGGCTCGATGATTCAAATTAGGCATAAAATGCGGAATATTAAAAAAAAGCGATCAAGATAAAAACTGAACCAAGGTGGGACATTTAAGGAAAAGTTATCAGCTTTTGTTAACAAAAAAGCGACGTCTGTGCACCAAATTTCATATTTGAAAATATAGAAAAAAGCGTGATTTTCTTAAACAAAGTATTGTTCGCTTTCATCCCATTTAATGGAGAGAAAGTAGAAAAAAATAGGTTTTTGCAAAATTTCCAGTTTGCGAAAACGCGAACTCAAAGCAAGCCAAAATGGCCCTATGGTTTCATTGATTCCTCATATTTGGACGCCCATTGTAGCCACTGCGTCTGTGCAATGTCTTTGCATTCATAATAGAACGCAGCATCCCGAACATCTGCCAGGATAAAATATCCCCTCAAAAGTATTGTGCCAACTATTAAAATTACGGACTAATATAATATAGTGAAACTTATGGACAATTGCCCCGTTAATATTATTTGTCCTGGACCTGGTAAGTTGTCGTGGTTTTGTGTGTTTGTGTTAAAAATATAGTTGATTGTCCCATCTGTGTTTTGTATCCCATAAAATATAAGGGATTTATTTTTTCAAAATACATATTTCGGAAATTCGGGAAACAGGCGATTTCAAAATCATTTTTTTTGTTGATTTGTCAACTGAGAAATCGCAAAGCCGCTTCAAAACCGTTTAACCATTATTGATAGTAACAGCACTAAGTGTATGTGAACGAAGGATTGTCATACAGGAAATAGAAAATAATTGTGATTGGCATATTATAAGAACGCTGATGTCACCACACTCTTTAGGATGGATTTATTACTTTGCCAGCGAAGAAATTATTTAATTTATATCTGGCAGTCGGCTTACAATGTTAAGCATTTTGATACAGTTAACCGATTTTAATAATTATGCAGATTGTTACGTAAAAACACGAGAAGCATTGATTTTTGCAACATTTTTTAAATGCCGCTTTCGTATTTTTCTGGAGACTTAACATACCACAGAAATAAAAAAAATTGTTTCAATTTTCTAGCGTATGTACCTACTGATTTGCAATTCTCTTTTCAGATTTTACTTGTTGGATGTTGATCTCTGGTTGATTATCAAAATAAATACTTTGCCATCTCTTACTGCAACTGCCAACAAATTCTGAAAACATAAAATCTCCTGCTATAGTTCTGCAAATTGATGTTATTATCTACGTGAAATAGATCCATCTATAATGAATTAATGCGTTTGAACTAAAAATCTTGCTTCCTTGAATGCATACAAACTCCCACATTTACATTAATATGGAGAATTTGAATGAATTCCCACAATTCGCGAAACACATTATAAAGGCATGTTTGCACTCTATACCTAACGATTGTATTAGAGACAATGATAATAAGGCTTCATTATGTACAGACACGGTTTAAACGAAATATACACTCGGCTTTCAACCATACCCAAATGAGTAGGAGAGAATGTTCAATTCATACTGGAACATCAGACATATGTATTTTAACAAAACCGCCGAAAGCCTTATTTAAAACGTTGTTTTGCGTGTACCGCGATATAAATAATAGCAGATGTTATAAAATCCGCCCCTGAATTACACAGCTCCTGATAGTGAACTATATAATAACCAAGGGTACGATTTCAGAAAATCACGGATTGGAGTGGAACGGCTTAGAAATTCTCATACGACATTCTCTAGCTATTTATGGCAGCTTTCGCTTTAGCAGGATTCTTAAATATCTGGCTCTCAATACAGTGTGAAACCCGAAAATAGCATAGACATACGTAAATGTTCCAGACTGGACACTCATCCGTAAAAAAATTATTATTATAATCAAAGTGGTAAATTTTACTGCTAAAGGACTCCATGCTCATGGCCTGACTGGGTGTTGCAGGCTGCAGGCAGCTGGCTTTTACGGAAATGACGACGAAACTTTATCAAGCTGCAGTATGTTTGGCATTGCAAAATATAATAAGAGCTTCCTGGCATTTAACAAGGCGATTAAACAAATATTGGTAATGTAAATCCGCCTGAAACATGAATAACGCGTGGGTCATGTTGTAAGCCTCATCAAACAAAATTATTTCCACACTCTTCATAATTTTCTTAAAAAACAGCTTTGTCTTCGGAAACTCCGCACTGGTGCACAAAATATTATTTATTAAGCTGACAAAGCTGCTAAGTGTGACTTTGAACTAAGAAGTAAATAATGAATAAATGGTAGTATCTCGTTATATATTTGCCAATAGTCAATAAATACCTAGACTGGATATGATTGTTTGATTGATTATTAATGCGATAAGGTATGCTGTTCCCAATCACTAGAGCTTTTTATACAGGGCGTAATTTGAATAATTTAAATCACTTTTTGGTAACGCAGACCTGGTTTTGAGCTTAGAACTAGGAACATTAACTGCATACTTGAAGGTCTTGGTTTTCTTAACGAACGTCTGGTTGAAGCTAAATCTTTTTTTTAAATACTGGCCCTGTTAAAACCGGCCCTGCAATATTGGCGACATTTTTTTGGAAAGTTTTTTTGCGTCCATAGAGGATAAAGCAAAAGTGCCAAATGGACCTTCAGAGTTAACAATGGTATAAGCCTTATAATAAGTATAGCAAGAGACCCGTAAAATGCCCGCAGGGTACCGTTAATATATTAACAAAATCTACCCATTACGAGCCTGAGTTACTGTTTACGCTCAGCGAGCGTATCGTCGAGTCTTCAAAGAGTGTTTCAACAAATAAGTTCGATTTTGTGGAGTTTATTAGTTTTATGTGTTCTAAGGCAATTTTTAATGATTTTTCTGATATTGGTAAGTGAATAGTTAGTTAAATGCTTGCACCCAATACCATTTAATCCTTTCGCGACAGGCGTTTTTTGAACATTGGAAGTAGCTCTGCATACTCTTCGTGAATATATTGCGGATACTATGACTATTACTGGTATTCTGCATGTATTGTAATTGTCTTCATTTTACATTTTCTACCACAATAATAACAAACTATTGCTTAGGATTTTTTAATGGGCAAATACCTAGTTATTAATATATGTATAACGACAGCCAAGGTAACAGAGCAAATTAGAGGTTTGCTAATTCGCAATTTCGGACTTAAATATTATATGGCATAACTCCTAGTAAGGACGAAACATTGCATTGAACATGTAATAATTACAGTGATAACTAGACTTTAATGGTGGAAGGAAAACAAGTAAACAGTAAAATATATGCAAGTGAAAAGTAATTGATTTATTTGAACTTTCATTGTTTTGCAAACATATTTTTATTACGCAGTTTAATTAACTAAAGTATACCTGTTTGTTAAAGATAGACAATGGTGAGGGCCATTGCATAGCCCCCTCAATGTCTACCACTTGCAGACGAAACAATTTTTTCTAAAAATGCATTTTTTGAAGAAGGACGAAGCGTACATAGTAAATAGAGGGTGCAATCCTTAAATTTGTTATGCTCATGCAAAATTATTTTTGTTACTACACAATGCGATTCACATGAAAAAGCGACATAACAAATCTGCCTGCAGTAAAACACTGATTAAACAATAAACACATTCCCTATCGACAAAGTCTCACGTTTCATATTTCTGTTGGCTGTTGGGTTTCCCCCTTGTTTTTTACTCTCCTAGTAATTGGGTTTTCGTGTAGAATAATTTGATACGTTTTTGCCATTCTTATTATTTGAAATGATTTTGCGCGAAACCATAAGTTATAGGATGTAGATGATTATTTATTGTATTGACCTTGAATGTCTGTGAGTGATCACAAACATTGCCTTTTTGTGATTACAATCGCTGACCTATCCAATTTAATTAAAAAACTATTGACCCCTTCAAATTGCCATAGCGTTGAGAAAAAAAGTTACTGTCACGATTTTATTTTAGAATGCATTGTTGCTTGAGCAAAAGTGAAAATTCAGTTCAGCATAAACTCACGACAGCACAAAAAACGGCTCTAATGATGTTAATTATATTTTATATCATTTTAAGTAATTTTAACGAATTCTCATCGTGAACGATTCCTTCACACGTTGGTATCCCCTAGGGTCGTAAAGTTTAATTGCCACCAATAAAAGCCCTTGAAGAAATAGTTTCGGGCTTTATTACCCAAATCTAGCCCGACCAGTGCCCGAATAAAACATGTGGCTTTTTACCTTCCAAGAAATAATATTTCTTCCAGTCAAGGCTGAAAGGTCGGAGAATTCAAATAAAATACATATTCAAATCGTATCTAGCACATCGATTCTGGGAAATAGAACAAGCCTATTCTAACTATCATGTAACATAGGTATATGTTACAGCTTCCAAACATTAGCTTTTGTGTAATTCAGTAGGTACAATAGACCTAGTTTGTTTAGGTGTCAATCCTGTTTATCTTTCATCGGTTTATTTAGACATGTAAATACCTATGAAAGAGCCGTTTAGTATTACAGATAGGATTTCAAAGCAGGAATATGAGAACCCAGTCAATTGGTATGATTCCCTATAAAAAGGAAATGATGCAGCGCTATATAAAGACTACCGTATGAAAGAAAATCCAATTTTAGTATTTTTGAACATGTGCAAAATTGGATGTAAAATCGGCATAATTAAATAATAATTAGCTAAGAGGCGGTCGTTGCAGGCATACACTAACCTTGTCGAGTCATAATTACCAAGAAAATTGCTCGTCTTTATATTTAATATTTGTGCGGTTTTGTACCTGGCACATTATTTAGTCACTACGACTAAGGATTGGTTAATTTATTTAAATAAAATTCACATTACTAAGGTTGTTATATTATAGAGACTTATCATTTCTATTCACAAACTGAACTCGTTGAAAATGTATAACTGGATTGAGGAATGTAGGTATTCGAGTCTTCAGTCCAACAATGAACAGTGAATAGCATAAATATTGCGAACAGTATCTAGATAAAATAGCGATCATCCCAACTATAGTATGTGATGAAATTGTTAAATCACTGAGCTGGATTTTAACGCAACTACTCGCAAAATACATCCAGCTTATTGATTGGAAAATGTTATCGGTATTTATAGGTTTCATCATTACAATCTCAACTAGTCGATAAAGCTCATCATTAAGTACAGCTTCAGCCGCAAGTTAATTAGGGAAACCCTTGAAGAATCTGCAATGCAAACAAGCAACCATATGCATATATGTATTATCTTTTCTGTATGTACAATTTTCTCATGAGCTTTTATCAAATTAAGTCCGTGTATGTTGTAAACACATGCTAAAATTAAAAACAAATTCATTTGGAACAACGCGATAAAACACAACTTTGCAATGCTAAAAGATAACGCAGTAGTTTATTGCCGTTCTTCGCGTAAGCTTTCAATATTTAGTCGATAATTAACGTGTTAAAAGGCCGTGCTTAGCTACCTTATCCGTATTACTCAAGTGCTTTAGTTTCATGCAAAAGGTGCATCAATTACGTAATTTTTGAGCAGCAGTGGGTCTTCCGACAACGTCGTTCGCAGGTGCAAAGGATTTAAAAAATCATGTTTATAACAAAACTATTGTATGAATTGAGCAGTTTGTCTTATAAGGGAACACCCAGTATCTAAAATGTCACCCAAAGGTTAATCGTGCCGTGGAGTGTATAACTGATCAATGAATAACTTGAATTTCATTCCCTTGATCCATTATCAAATAAAAAGGTTAACCAAGTGGAAAGTGTTAACAACAATCTATTACAGAAAATAATGATTTGCCGAGGAAGTAATAAGAAATTTAATTAAGTTTTGTTAAACAACACTTCCTAACTGCGACTTAATTGTTTTGCTTTATTCAAATGCAATAGTTAATTTTGTCCTAAAAACCATTTCAATTGTCTGCAACGCAGTGAAATGGGTAATAGGTTTTATTGTTTAAAGAAAACTGTAAAAACTGAAAACAATGGTAGGACAAATTTGAGGTATTTCCATAGTTAAATTGCCGACAGAAAATGCCTTTAGTCGAAAGTCATCGGCTAAATTTCCTATAAGAGCCAACTAAAATTAACTCCTATTTCTTGAACCACTTGAAATTATAATATGTATTTCCACGTAGACCTACCATTGCCATTGTTTTAAAAGATTATAATATATCCTTTTCCGTTTCGAACAAATGTGGCGGAAACGTTATTTAAAGTGAAACTATGTGAAATAATAAGTAGATATTAATAAATAATTCATTTGAAGCCATTGTTAAATATATAGAGTTTGTAAACGGACACGGGTGTTCTTTAAAAACTGTGTTAGACAATTTACGTGTTTCATACCTTACAAAATAGCCTAATTTGAATTCTTAATCAGAAAAAATAACGTTAAGTTATTCATTCGGTAACGGTGTTATTAATCTGGTAATCTAGACGTTATTAAATGTATTACTCATACCACATTAAAGACGAGCGTAATAGCAATTAAAGTGCTTCATGCATGCAGCTCATGTTTCTTCTAGAACAAAAGGTTGTGACTGGAAATTATTTAAAATGAACTTCGAGCCAAGCGTTTTAAATATATTTTAAATACAATTTTTGTTGGCAGATTTAAATGGCAGCATTTCGCAAAAATGGAAAAGACTGCGCCAATGCTGTGCATCGTTGCGTGGTCACAACTCCGAGACATCGAAAAGTGCTCTGCTCGAACCCACTAGCCCTCACATTCTAGTCAGCACGCCTCACACCACGTCATCCCTCAGGCTTCCCAGCAATACCAAAAAAACTAGCGTACAAGAAGTACTAAGAGCTAAATTCAGTCAAATTCATGTCGGATTGCGAAGACGAAGGGCCATGTCCGTCCAGGAATTTTTTCACACCGTGGGGAATGGTGGAAAAGAACAAACTAATCAACCAAAGACTGCCTTCTACGTTCCTGCTCCTGAAAACTTGACTTCTGCTGATAGGAAGCCTCGAATATTTCAGTCAGCCTCGGAGCGAAAAGCTCGACCCCGCCAACGAGAGTCATTAAATCTCAGGTGAGAAGAAAAATTGTCAGAAATACTGCAATGGTCCTAAAATGTTCATTGCAGTCTTCCAGGTTCAGAATACTACTACGAACCACCTCCAGACTACGATGTCGAACCAGCACGACATCGTCGCTGGTCTGTCGCTGCAAATCCTACATCACTTAATTCAGGCCTTACCCAGCCTATTTACACTCATCCAACGAAAACTCATAACTTGAAAACCATCGAAAACTACAGCATGAAAATACCAAAATCAAAATTGCAGAAACATCAACATAATTCGGATCGAGCAAGGTCACAATCACCCAATTGTAACAAAAGACAATCCGAATGCAGTAAGGCGGAAAAACAAACGAAGTTTAAAGTAGTCAACTCAAAGAGCTATTACGAGTTGGGAGGCGGCAGACAAAAAGCGGAAGTACGACCGGACGGTAAATTTGAACGTGATCGGCAGGTATGCAATTGTTTTTTTGATTTCTAGTGCCGTACACGATTTACTACTTTATTCAATTAAGCATAGTAGCCCATTGAACACGTAACACATTTGCCCTCAGCTATTGAAAACCTCAATTTATTCTAATGCGGTCAGAACGTAACAACTGTCCAGTTATTTACTACACTCTGTATAAATATATATATTTCCCTCAAGGAAAATTATAATCTTCTCACGTTCAAACGAAATATTTAGTAAATAAATGCCGTTAGAAAATACACATTTTCATCAATTTACATTTTAATTTGTAGCCATAGTCCATATCCACCAAGTATGTTCCAAATTGAATGCAACAAAATAGTAAAATAGGTACGGCCCTGTCAGAATTAATCGATTTGAATCGATTATTTCCTACACATTACAACTTTATTTATTATAATGTTCGTCACCCAAATAAACAAAATTAACATAATTTATCAATCAAAAGCTGTCAGAGTTGAACGTAAAAATCATAGGTCGGCATTATAAAAAGATTCCTGACCCACACATCGGCCCACATAGACACACTAAAAGTGGCATAGTGATATTACTATTACGGTTGCTTGATGTTAAGCATCTCTTTATGCAACAATCCCAAGAAAAATCAACATGTAGGTGGTCAAGTTTAAATTCCTTAATGACTATATAACAGTTTGTATTTAACTTAAATGGTTTCGTAATTTACAGTCAACCTTTTAACCTTATGTTCTAGTTGTAAGTGCAAGAACTGCAAATGGAAGGAATTGCATCGAATTATTCAAATAGCTCAGTTTCTGTGACACGAAACGACTCTTACATACATAATAGTACATATTACGTACATACTACGGATGCAGTGCATGTCCGCTTCAAATGTTTGCATATGGGAACATTATTATTAATAATTGCTAAAAAAGATCTCTTATAATTCAACGAAACTCAGCGAACCCTAAAGCAAAATTATCTACGGAGATGTTACTTTTACGGCATTATCCACCATTTCTTTTTATAAAAAAATATTGTTCAAACTGCAAATGTGAATGTAGTAAGCAATTATGATATATATCTGCACGTAACTGATAGACATTATTAACTCAGTTACATATTTGAGCTATTTTCGAGTTATTTAATCGATTTCAACTACAACAGCTACAGGGCCGTCTTTAATTAAAGATGTTCAGTTCTCGAGTTCCATAGAAAATTTCAACCAATTTTGATGATCATCCTATACGAACTGTATGAAAAACCTATGACTTTTAAGATACAACTACATAAATGCATATTAGCGAAAATCAAAATTTAACTTGAATCTGTGAAAATTTTCAGAGTTTTCCAGTTTTAGCCAAGTTACCCTTTCTTCTAAATGCTAAATTTTCTAAAGTTTCACTTAAAAATGACGCCAAACTTAACGTATTTTCCGTGAAAAATTATGAAATAAATTTCATTGCTTGGTCGCTTTTGGAAAAGTTTTGAAATCCTATTTTCTATTACAAAACGAACAGAATAAGCGAAAGCTTATAACAGACTATTTCGATCGAAAAAGACTTACGATCTGGAGGTATTTTACGCGAAAAATTACAAGATAAATTTATAGCTTTGTAAAAATTTTACAAAAACTTTTTTCAGCGTCGGATTCTAGACAAAAACGAAAATAAATTCCTTCCGTTTTTCCCCTGAAAACCATTAAGGTTTTCTCCAAAACCGGTCACAAAACTACAAGTTTTTAATCGAAAACGCAAAAAACATTATGTTCTGATGATTTCCTTCTTTTCTGACAATAATGGGGTCTTTTCAGCCAAAAATTACAAAATTAATTTTGCTAGAAACTTTGCCTTATTTATCGGTTTGCTGGGAACTTTAGAATACCCTTTTCAGCTTCGAATTTCGCACAAAAACCAAATAATTTTATTCAGTTTTTTACCGAAAGTAATTAAGATTATCTTGAAAAAATGGCCGGGGAGCAAAAGTTAAAAAAAAAAAATGTTCAGATATTTTCTGTGAAAAATTATATGATATATTTTATTGGAACACTCGCCTCCTTAACCGATTTTCAAAAATGTTTGGAACACTTTTAGCAGCTTTAAATTATGCACAAAAGCCTAATAATTAATTCTGGATCTTTTCCAAAAATATTTCGCCGAACTGAAAAAGCGAACATTTATAATCATTTATTTGGAAAACTCTTTTAGGACAAAATTTCTAAGCAACACTGTCACTAAACAGAAAAACCAAATTTTTCCTAACGTTTTACTGTAAAATACTGGCAAACTGAATATTTTATGCGAAAAATTAAGACAATTTTACAAGAAAACTCGTCGACTTTCTTTGAACTGTTCTTTAGTTGTACAAAGTGAACAAAGTAGTAAAACGTTACTCAGAAAAAAYGTWRATGACTATTTTTTGATGTACGAATTCCAGTCTCGGGTCTCGTAAAGCTTTAATAAAAACTTTAACTCAAGAACCGATGATTATAACTCGTTAACGCAGAGAGCGGCAACAACTCAATAACGCAACTTAACACAGTGTTACCCAGGCGTACTTGAATGGTTGATAGTGTCGAAAAAATAAAATATAAATAGAACATTTCGTTGAAGAAGTATTTATTGAAATGATAACGTTTGTTTTAAAACACAAAATAAATTAATGACTTGGATGAACCTGATGGGATGTTATGACTGCATTTATGTCGGGCTCGCAATTACTACTACAAATACTAGTCAGTTTATTTTGCGACGACGCTCTTAACGGCACTAAATCGATGTTCTACCAAATAGGTTTATCACCTATAATCAAAAGTACTACTTGAAAAACTGACTCGATTCGATAATTTTATATTAAACTGTTTGCGGACCCCTTGACGTTGTTCATAGCCCGCACAATAGATTTAAATTTTCTAAGGACCAACTGAATGATCCCACTGTTCTAGCAGCTGAAGATCTGAAAATCTCGTTTCAAGTATTTCAACTTGAAGCTCATTTCTGATTTCTCAGGAATCCATCGAAGAGTTAGAAGAGATTGAAGAGGAGGAGAGCAAGTTTTGCACCTTACCTAGAGGCGGAAATACGTTTACGATTCGACAGGTGCTGTTCCACAAAGGGCATGATTCCAAGCCTCTGGGATTCAGTATTGTAGGAGGCAGAGATTCACCTAAAGGCAGCATAGGAATTTATGTGAAAACGATTTTCCCGAATGGGCAGGCAGCTGAAAATGGCACTCTGAAAGAAGGTAAGTTTTTTGTGGTTTGATATTGGAAATTTTGCCAATGGTAGTGATTTAGGTGATGAAATTCTGGCAGTAAATCACAAGCCGCTGCATGGAGCATCCCACAAAGAAGCAATTAATGTATTTAAGCAAATTAAGTCTGGGGCTGTATTGTTGCATATAGGGCGAAGATTAAATAAAAATCGACGCGAAAAGCTTGTGAATTGAAAACAGTTTAACGTTATTTCTATTTGCTTTAGGATTATGTTAGTCTTAACGTATATACCAAAGATTGAACATTTTCATGTAGGAAAAGAGTTTTGTCGATGTAGGTCGCTAGTTTGCCTAGGAATGAGACGGTTATTTTTTATAATATCACAGTGATAAATTAGTCCGTTTACATAACGCATGGTACAAGAGAAGGACTGGAATACTGAACAAATTCGTAAATATGGGCAGCAGCTGTTTTAGCTAAGTAACTTGTATGACAAGTATTTTAAATATTACGTGCAAAATGCAGATGAAATATATAAGATAATATATGTATGTAGGTTTACATTTACAATTCACTGACATATAATAATGTTTCAAATAATGACTAAGTATATCCATAGATAATATCTAATCATATTTTTCCATCTGCTTAATTTTAAGTTGTAGTTTTGATAGTAATCAAAATGTGATACTTTTTTATCATTTTTAATGAAGTATAGGCACATATATGCTCCAAACCATTTCGAGTTGTTTTATTTCACCGCATTTGGAAAAAATCTCTGAAAAAATCTCCCCGAAACGAAAGGTTTGTAGTTAATATTTTCATTGAGTAACCCGAAAATGAGAAATTAATTAATTAAACCAAGCAGAAGTAGTGTTTATGGGGTGAGAAAAATTCGAAGATTCAACCGCATTAAAAGAAATAAAAAAAACGTACAAAGATAATTCTAGACCGCGATTGAATCATGACGATAGATATAGATCTCGAGATTCTAATTTCAGGCACCCTCAGAACCGATTTTGAGCCCATTTTAGCCTGCAAATAACACTCCCGAAACAATTACTTGTATTTCGTCCATATGATTGTTCCTTTTATCGGAGCTCAGTATTTTGATTGGAAAAGGCCTGGTTGATAAGAATTTACCGATATCAAAATCATACGTAATATTTTTTCGGATATAGGAGGATCCTGTTCGAATGATTTGGCGCAGCTGAATCATTTCATCTATTATTTCGATATTAGTAACATCTTGATTATATAAATAATTCGATTATCGTCACTTCTACACCTGACCGACTAGGCGGAAAGCGATCAGCTTTTAACTTAAATCACTCTACTTTTTAATAAATTTAGGGATCTCAAAAACGCCTATTTTTTTGTATTTTATACATTTAACATGAATCATTTCAAACATTAACAATCAAGTTGGGGTTTTCTGCTAGATGTCATGCCTTTGGTATTTCATTTATTCGCATTTATCTGAAAGAATGACCAACTTACCAAGGTCAAAGATTTTGGTCGTTCCCTCAAATTCTGGCTTCTTTTGGAGGGATGTTCAACACTCGTCTCACTATTCAATCAAATCACTTTTAATCTTCATCTGATTGTTCCTGTCAGCAAATGGGGCTGATTACAGTTATAGGAGAACGTCTCCAACACGCACTCTCAACATATTGGTGAATGTTACGGTCTAGACGGGCTGCCGACTGCGCCGACTAACTAAATCTGATCCTCAAATAGCATGTTCGTTCGCGAATAGAAAGAGACGCAGCTACCAAGAAAGAGACGCAGCTACCAGCACTAAAGTACAATTGAATTAATTATTCCATGAAATTTAAAAGCTATTTAATTTAACTTTCCGAATAAAAATATAAAAACGCAATAATCGGTTAAAGATCCGTCGCTTGCCCCTGACAATTGGCATCTGTCAAAGTGGGAATTAGTTGGGTCGCCATTGTTGTGGTTTTGTAATATTTGCTATTAGAACCCAATAATATCAAAAACCAAGTTAATTATCCAGATTTTCGGCTGATTAGAATTGAAAATGTTCAATTGTTTTATACCCTAAGATGTTGTTAACAGTTGTTTCCCATAAATATCTTTACAGCATTCAATACTGAACTCTATGTATGGAGAATGTTTTCAGGCATCTAAAAAATAAAAATTAATTAAAAATAATTATATTAACAAGGGAACACTTAAGTTTTAGTGTCTTTGTTCACTGAACTACTTAGTGTAATATGTTCCTGTAGGCCAATTATTTAAGGTCATAGATCTATCGCGCTGTGTACATAAAGCTAAACAAAATGAATAACTTATTTGATCACGAGGATGAAAGCAGGTAAATTATTTGATACATTTATGTGATAGTGGGTTTTATCAATTTCCAAATAAGACTGTGCTTCAGCATTGCTAATTTGCTTCTAAATATATCGTTTTACTCAGAGCGTAGCGTATACCTATCCTCAAGTATTCATACTGAGGCATCTCCAATCTGATGTGCAAACATTTATTTCCCTTTCAAAGGCAAGTGCTCCGGTTACTAAGAAGTCTGAATTCTCCAGAAGTAATTAGTAGTCAAAACAATGATTCAACTGATTAAATGCAACCGATGTTTATTTTTTCTTTTAACAACTTGAAAACTATAAGCTGTGTTTTGTTCTGTTTCAACCAGTATTTTTTGTTTCAGTTGGTACTTTGGTGCCATCAACAGGCAGGAGGCTCAAGACCTTCTTATGGCGGAAAAGGAAGGAGGGGTGTTTTTAGTTAGGGATAGTACAACTTCCGTGGGCGACTTCGTATTATGTGTAAAGTAAGTATACAACCCATGTGGGATTAATTTAAACCCCAATTGGGATTTAAAGATTTTTGCTGTGTTTTTTTCTTAAAGCTGGATTTAGAGAGGCATCACTTAACAAAGCAGTGTTTGTAGTCGCTATCATTATTGTAATTTAATGTTTGTTGTCGCAATCAAATTTTATTTTATCAGGCTATGTGAAGTACTGGAATGGCAATTTAGCAATTTGTTTAAAGTAACATTTTTTTTTTAATTTCAGGGAAGACAGTAAAGTTAGTCATTATATTATTAATAAAATGCAGAGTAATGATCAGACGAATTTTCGTATTGGGGATCAATATTTTAAAAGTTTAACAGAACTAGTATCTTTCTACAAGCTTCATTACTTAGATACCACACCTCTTATCAGGCCAGCAAAGAAAAAATTGGAAAAAGTCATTGCTAAATATGATTTTGAGAGTAACGTAAGTTTTCCGCCAGCTTCAACAGTTCAAACATTTTAATTACAATTCTGCGGCTATTTTGCAGGAGAAGGACGACTTAAGTTTTAAAAAAGGTGATATTTTAACAGTGCTGTTTAAAGAGGAAGAACAGTGGTGGAGGGCAAAAGATAAAAACGGCAGAGAAGGGTGTATACCCGTTCCGTATGTTCAAAAGGTACAGGTACAAGATGGGCATCAAGGTTATTTAATGACGAAGATAATCCGTTTTTTTCTAGCTTGAAGAAAGTTCTTCACCGGTTGATGCTTCAACAAGACTTCCAGAGGGACCAGTCAGTAGCATTCCTGAGTCGAAACCTAAACCCAAACCGGTATGCTCACAATATTTATTTTATTCTCACTGCTACTTCAATTTTTTTGATCGCTTGTTTTTTTCTGGAATTTTATCGATTTTATGAAAGCACTAAAAAAATCATTTTTAGCGGAAACTACCAGCAAAAGCCCGAGTTAAACAAGTGAGAGTACCAAATGCTTATGACGACACTGCATTGAAGCTAGAAGTCGGCGACATTATCATAGTAACGAAGACCAACATTAATGGACAGTGGGAAGGTGAACTAAATGGTAAAGTTGGATATTTCCCTTTTACACATGTAGAATTCTTAGATGACGATAGTGGGAGTTAGTAATTCTATGGCAGGCTGTACAATGGTTGTTTCACTCTTGTAATCCTGTAATTAATCTATAGCTTTCTGCGTATATACAGACAGTTCTAATATACGACTAATTGAAATCGTGAACATATTGTACACATATACATTATTTGAAACTTGTCACCATCACGGAAGACTGCATGCAATGTCCATTATCTTAACTGTGAGCAAAAGACTGCTGGTGAAGTACTTACTGATTGGTTCAGTATCATTATGCGACCAGCTACTTACTTCAATTTTTACTCAAATAATTAAATTTCGGCATCGAATGTGTTAAATAATATTTCTTGCAGATTTTATGATCTAAGGCGGTATCATGCACTTACTTTTACATAATAAATGCGATATGATTCATATAAATACGCACTTTTTACAAGTTACTTAAAATAATTTCGAATATTTATGAATCGATCATATAACCTTTAGAAAAAGCTGCTTAAATTGATTCACGTTGGGTGACAAGTGGTCTAAACATAATAAATTATTGCTTAGAACAGCTACGACGTTATTAAATATGCTTGTATTATAAAATTTTATGCAATTATTCTAGTCGAAGCAAATTATCATATTTGTATAAGCTGAGTGAAATAACTGACTGCCATGGTGAAAATAAGTTTTGGAGAATTTGTATTATATTGTTGATGATGTCATAAATACTCAGATACGAAAGAAAAGTTTTAAAATAAACTGTCCCAAGCACATGTGAAGATTAACAATTTAATTACTTAATTGTTTTTAAATTTATATTTTAACTGTACATTAATCATTTGTAATTTTGAGCGTACTAAGTAGTATTTGATGATTTATAGTATTGCGATCAATTTTACTGAAATTCAGTTTTCCCCTGATGTTTTTGTGCTGTGAAGTATTTTAAATTTGGGAACACTGGCCTACATATATATCGTTTATTCTAAAATTGGTAAATTTAATTACCATCTATAGTTGGGATTTCAGATACTTGCTATTGTATTTACATATGCCTCGAATTCACTTTATTTAATACTAACAACGTCCCAGGTATTCAATTATTTATGAAATTTTATGTATATTTGCGCAGTTATATTGTAAACATGTATTTTTAAGTACATATCATATTTTACTATTTTTTCATCATGTTTTATGCGTATACATAATAGAATATATATTTTAAACTAGTGTATTAAGAAATATAGAAATCTGTATACGTTTTATTGTGTATTATGCTAAAAACACAGTTATTTACATCTATTATTGTTTTTTCTTTATTCCTGTTAAAACCAATGCTCTTAAGTAATTGACGGCTTACCTTTATGTTGACGATGTTATCAGGATGGGTTGAGGATCAAAGGTGAATAAATGAAATAACTCGCTCCCCTCACGAATTTAATTTAATAAGAAAATTTATTTTTCACAATTCGGTAGTTTAAAGTGGAAGCTATATATTTGAGTTCCAAATATCGACCAAATCCCAATATCTGCAGTTTGGTGCTTAATTATTGCTTTCCACCGTAAAAACCGTTACATGTCATATCAGTACTTACAGTGATTTATAAAAGTATGATATGTATTATACGTAATACAAAAGTGATTACCCTACAAATTGAAACCTTGCAAAGCCCGATCGCATCCAAACAAATTGTCAAGATTATTTCAAACAATAGAGACTAAATGAAATATTTTTTATGGACAATCATTATTTGGTTTGTGATTGAAGAATGGTGCTCAAACGGGCAAAGGTTTAGTCAGTATAACTCTGATTCTTGCTTCCGCAGTTAAAAAAGTTATATCAGCAACACCACTTCGCATTTTAAGTGATATGTTATTCATCAGTAAGATGGTAAAAATAGGTCGTAATGGTCGTTATCTTAATGTATAACATGTCTCTTAGCATCCGATCTACCTGATCACAGAGGTATATATGGAAAAGCGATGATTGTAAAGGAATTCTGTGGTCTTGTAGTTTATAGAAACCTAAAATAGTTCAATATCCCACGTTTGGCGAAGGAAACACAGTCATTCTAGGTTCAGTTGTTTGTGTTGAACGATGATTGCCCAATATTAAGCACGTATGATGTATTTTTTGCGAGGACTTGGTCCAATAGATAGGCGGTTAGCTTGAGAACTCTGGTGGAACAATATTATTCACTTACTGTATAAATACGTACTAAACGAAATAAGGATGCTTTTATAATCTGGGGCTCGGAAATGCTCATAAGTAGTTCAGGCCGATTGTTTGTTGGATAGTTGGAAAAATATATATTTATGCCAGTCAATTAAATGCTCACTTGTTAACCTGTTTAATATTGGAATTTTTGAAGAAATTATCATTTTAGTCATTCAATGGGGTTGTTTAGATGTGTCTCGAATGCATCGCGAGACATATCTAGGTATGATGATTTAGTGCCCACAATAACTGCTGAATCGAGGCGCTAGCAAACCTGGATGTATTTCCATTTTTGATAAAATTGCAATTAATTTCTTCGTTTCATTGAAAATGTACAGTCAGCATTTAGCCAACCAGCATACAACTCTATAAATAGTAAGACATATAGATATATTTCGATAAAGATAAATGTATATTTGTAACATGACTAAGTTCTAGATATAGTTAACGTGTACACTACATGATTGTGCTTTGTTGAATGTGAACATGGCAAAAGATGTGCATTCGCCTGTAAGATGGTAATTGTCAGGTCGTTATCTTGACGAATAAACGAACCTTTTGGCATTTTTTTTACATCGATCACAATATTGAAAGAAGTAGTCATAGAATACGATTTGGTGCAACAATGTAAACATACGTACTATAAGAAGTAGTGCAAATTGTTCACACTTATTCTAATTCTCTAGATTTAGACTTTTACTTCTCAGTCACATTACGCATATAGAGAGACTTTGTCCAAATTTTCAATGCTTGGTTATAATGTTAAACCTATTGCTATATTGTGCAATCAAATTTGAGTTAACAAATTGAAAAGTGTGCCACAATAATTGGACTGGGAGTCAGGAGTAATGACATACAATGAACTACATCCAGATAATCTGCTAATCAATAAAATATCGTCTTCTATTGACCTACACTTGCTCCTAGAGCGTTCAGATTAGTTACAGAGCTAAGTTCGATTCTAAAAAACCTTTCGTTTTCAAAAATATGGGTACAACTAGATTTTCTAAAAGCTATCAATAGAAGACAAAAAATACAAAACCTTAAAAAGTAGTGCTAATCACAATGCACCTTGTATATTAAATAGTTCAAATTGATGATACATACGTAATACGTTTCTGTGATATGTTTTGGTTTTTAGCCTTAAATGCCTCATTGGATATATGGTGCATTTGAAGGCTTTGATATGTTTGCATGTCTATATCTACTATAAAATTTCCCTAAATCTACATCCTAGCTCTACTTCTAGTGAATTATCAGAACATCAACTACAATATATAAGTCCTGATACATATTATGGTCGAAAAAGCACCAAAAATCAATTGCAAAGTGCTTGATCGGATCCTCCTACTACATCAAATAAATACATTTTCATCCCTCTAAATTGATTCGTGAAATCAAGGGGGACGGAAATCTCAAAACCGACACTGCTGCTGAAACTTTGTAAATGGGGTGACCAAGATGGTTGCTTCACCAAAGCAGATTAAATAAAGTGTCAAGTTTTTGTTCTATTTCCTTGCCCTGTTTCACTCTCTGTCTAAATTTCCTATAATATTAATGGCTATTTTAATAAAAGTTGTGTAGGTTTAACTGGCTATTGACCGGAAACGGTTTTGCCCAGTCCATGTTAATTGAATTCTGTTATTGGTGTTCAACTAGTTGGTCGCCGAAATGCAATATTAAAAAAAAAACGTCTTAATTTTCGAAAATAATCCATGACAGATCAAAATCCTGCTCACAGCATATTTTCTCAAACCAGACGACGCCATGCTTTCGATAAAATTTGACCAACACTCGAGCAAACATTTAATAAGGAAGATAAGAGTAGAAATGTTTGCTCAATGGCATATGTGGTTGCGGATGGGCATAAACTATTTCAGCAACAGGGTCAAGCCAACCTCAATCTAAGAACCCCGTGTTAACCAGCTTTTCAAGGAAAAACTTAACGTCTCCCAACTCCGAATCTTTAATACCAAGCGACTTCAACATCCCAAGATCCCCATTCTCCACCGCCATAAACACAGAACGCAGGTGCTCGAGATCAGCTCTCATCAGGTGAAGTGCTGCCCCAAAATCTTCAATCGTTTGAGATTCTACAATCAAATTTATACTCCATTATAACACTATTTTTGGCGTGAAAATTTCAGTTTTGGCTGTCGGCACAGGTTTCTAATTAGCAGCGATCCGAACGAAATAAATTGCCGGGGTAGCTGAATTTTTACCGACCTTTTTTTCGAAAGTTTTCTCTGCTGGGAGCCAAAGTTCGCCCGCTTTTTTTAATTACTACTTAGCTGCATCATCCATTATTTATTGCCAGAGTGGACGTTTTGCTTTTCCCATTCAGAAACTTACCTAGTAACACGTGGCTGCATTCTGAATATAGTGCTTAGAGAGTTTTAATAGCTGATAAAATTTTTATTAATCACAGTTTTAGTGTTGGAAAGTCAGGAGAGGGCAAAGAAGGAACCCGAAAATCCTTTCTAATATGCAGGATGGCTGATTCAAGAGTATCTAGAAAGGTTCGCGCTCTTGTTTTTAGCGGGATATGTTTTTAATGCGTTCCTTAAATCTTGCAAGTTTTCGGCTTGAGTGGCGTAAATTCTCGATTTAAGGTGCGATTCTCTATGGCCCCGCCCCACAGAAAGAAATCAAGAGCGGATAAATCTGGCGATTTGGCCGGCCGTTAAGTAGGAACTCGTCTCCGAAACCAGCTGGGACGCAATATTTCATTTCGAAATTGAGGAATGCGTAATAAGTACATAATGAGGCTGCTCCATATTATGCTGAAGTATCGAATTTCCCTTAAAAAGCCCATAATACGGTAATAGCAACCACCAACCACAGAAACTTTGTAGAGAATAAAACGTTCATATGATCAGCATGCGGGTCAATAGCAGGGGCGGATCCACCATTAAAGTCAGGGGGGGTTATTTGGAAAAAATACAGTCTTCTGTTATCTATGAAATTACAAAAATGATCGTCGTTTTGTGCGAGGGGTGCGAGAGGCAAAATTTCATGTTTTTCGTCCCGTTTTGCATGTTTCTCGAAAGCAAAATGAGCAAGAACGCTCGTTTTTACATCATTCCAGATATAACTAACTG